TCCCGCAAACAACACGGTTTTTCCAGCGTTTTCGCAAAGAGGATGTCCAAAAACACAGAGTTTTGCCAGATTTTCGGCAAAAGGATGCAGGAAGCCCAAGCCAGCAAAAAAGCCGGCAGGGGAATCGAGCCTGGGACCCCTGTTTTGCGACACCGGCTCCCCGAAGACTACGTTTAGTGGAACGTCAACAAATTAGCCGCGCGTCCTTGGGGGGGGGGGGGGGGGGGGCCCCCCCCACACGTATCAGACGTCGGGTGGGGGGGGGGTTAGGGGGGGGGTTATCCTCTATCCTCTCTTAGGTGTCCGACACGCCGAGCAATGTCGGCGGATATGTACTTTTGTTCTCGATGAACAAATACCGTGATTGATTGCTTTGCTCAGGATTCTGAGCTGCTTTTAGGAAGCGCTTCTTGGTCAAGTGCAAGTTTGCATCCTTGTGGCGCATCAGCAGAGCCCTGTCGAGCCTTTAACCTGTATATTGTTCTCGATAAACAAATATACCGTGACATCTGCCTGATTGCTTTGCTCAGGATTCTGAGTTGCTTTTTGGAAGCCAGTGCCGCACTTCTTGGTCAAGTGGTGTTGTGTGGCGCATCAGCACAGCCCTGTCGAGCCTTAAATGTGTCCGTTTTGTTCTCGATAAACAGATGTACCGTGACATCCGCCTGATTGCTTTGCTCAGGACTCTGAGCTACTAATGGAAGCTGGCGCATCAGCAGAGCCCTGCCGAGCCTTAAATATGTACTGTTGTTGTCGATGACATCTGCCTGATTGCTTTGCTCAGGCTTGTTGGAAGCCAGTGCCGCACTTCTTGGTCAAGTGCAGGTTTGCATCCTTCTGGAGCATCAGCAGAGGCCTTGGACATGTACCTTTCTTCTCGACAAACAAATATACCGTGACATCTGCCTGATTGCTTTGCTCAGGAAACTGGGCTGCTTTTTGGAAGCCAGTGCCGCGCTTCTTGGTCAACTGCAGGTTTGCATCCTTCTGGCGCATCAGCAGAGGCCTTAAATATGTACTTTTGTTCGCGATAAACGAGTACCGTGACATCCGCCTGATGGCTTTGCTCAGGAAACTGAGCTGCTTATTGGCGGCTTGCTTGCTTTGCTCAGGCTTTTTGGAAGCCAGTGCCGCACTTCTTGGTCAAGTGCAGGTTTGCGTTCTTCTGGCGCATCAGCAGAGGCCTTAAATATGTACTTTTGTTCTCGATAATAAACAAACACCGATTGCTTTGCTCAGGAAACTGAGCTGCTTTTTAGAAGCCAGCCGCACTTCTTGGTCAATGTGTCATAAACAAATATTCTGGGACATCCGGCTGATTGCCTTGCTCAAGGTACTGAAGCCAGTGCCGCGCTTCTTGGTCAAGCGCAGGTTTGCATCCTTCTGGCAGCCCAGCCAAGTGGCCGTAACTGACTGGTTTGCATCCTTGTGGCGCATCAGCAGAGACCAGCCAAGTGGCCGTAACTGACTGGTTTGCGTCCGTGTGGCGCACCAGCAGAGCCCAGCCAAGTGGCCTTAACTGACTGGTTTGCAGCCTTGTGGCGCATCAGAGCCCAGCCAAGTGGCCGTAACTGACCCGACGTGGATGGACCTGTCCTCTTCCCAAAAAAGGGGACTTTCTACAGGGACATGCATGGACTGATTGTAACATAAGCTACTCAATTTCGCACCTTGCATGAAGGAGACAAGCCTTTTTTTGGGTTATACAGACCTGTCATGTTTTTTTTGCTGTTTGGGGTCGAGGCTGGTGTAATTTTTAACACTGCTTAATAACAGGGCTGGGGATGGTTTTCAAATTTCAGAGGTTTCAGCTGGCTTTGGGCTCTGTGTTTGAGCAACCAATTGATTTTGGGTCAACATGGATTTTGGGTGATTGTTTGGGGGGGATGGCTTTTTAAATTAAAATTGATTTGTGGAGTTTTTTTGGAATTTTCCACCGTGCAAATAGACTTTCAATTATTCTGGTCCCCCTAAACAATGGGTGCGAACCAGAATAAGGAAAAACTTGCAATTATTGACGCCCGGTTGATTAATACCCTTTTCGGAGCACCCATATTGAGTTCCCAATTTTGAGTCCAGCCAAGTGAGTGAGACGAGATGAGACGAGCCTTCCGGCAAAGCCGCGTCATGGTCAAAACACCGCCCTCATGTTCTGATAGAGGGGCTATCTTCCCGCGGGGGGGAGAATTTCACATCCGAAAGCTCTCAGAAAAGCATGATCCATCCTTGTCATGGAAGTTGCCTTTTGAAACTCGTCAGACGGCCATTGCAGCACGCGCCCCTGGAAAATACAAGTTCCCGCCATGTGCTAGTTGGTTCTGTCAAATTTCCGAAAGCGGAGCCATGGCTGCAACCTTTAAATGGAGTTCCAAAAAGGTCACAGGCTATGAAAGAACCCGAATGCGAAAGCTGCGTCACGCTCCCCTGGCTTTTCTGCAAATTTGTCATCCCTGGCCGTGCTTGGCAGTGAACGGGAGAATTAGGACAGCATTGCTTCTGTGCATAAATGGTCAAAAAACATAATGGTTTTTGCATAGTTGCAGTTCAATTGCTCGGAAATCTGAACCAACCAACTGCAGCCAACGCACGGCAAACATCCTTCCCAATGGAAGCTAATACCTCCAAGCGAGACCATGCGTGTAGCGAAACAAATCTGGATTGGTTTCTTTTTTCTTAGAGTGGTATTTTAACGCCTCCGGCTCAGGCCGCCGACATTACAGGCCTGCTTTCTTATTTGCGTCCCTTTGGAATTGTCCCCTTGCCCCCTTCCCCTCTGAGATTTTTGCCCCCCTTTCTTTGTTGAGACCCATTCCCCCTTTCCGCCCTAAGGCCTTTTCTCCCTCTGATTTTTCCCTTTTCCTCCCTAAGATGTTTTCCCCCCTCTCCCTGTTGAGATCCTTTCCCCCCTTTCCCCCTAAGGCCTTTTCCCCCTCCCTAAGATCTTTTCCACCCCTTTCCCTGTTGAGATCATTTCTCCCCTTTCCCCCCTTTGCCCCCAGATCTTCTCCCTTTCCTCCCTAAGATCTTTCCCCCCCTTTCCCTGCTCAGATCCTTTCCCCCCTTTCCCCCCTAAGGCCTTTCCCCCCCTGAGATCTTCTCCCTTTTCCTCCCTAAGATCTTTTGCCACCTTTCCCTGTTGAGATCCATTCCCCCTTTCCCCCCTAAGGCCCTTTCTCCCTCTGAGTTTTTCCCTTTTCCTCCCTACGATGTTTTCCCCCCTCTCCCTGTTGAGATCCTTTCCCTCCTTTCCCCCCTAAGGCCTTTTTTCCCCCCGCGATCTTCCCCCTTTTCCTTCCTAAGATCTTTTCCCCCCTTTCCTTGTTGAGATCCTTTCCCGCCCTTTCCCCCCTAAGGCGTTTTCCCCCCCAAGATCTTCTCCCTTTTCCTCCCTAAGATCCTTTGCCCCCTTTCCCTGTTGAGATCCTTTCCCCCCTTTCCCCCCTAAGGCCTTTCCCCCCCTGAGATCTTCTCCCTTGTCCTCCCCAAGATCTTTTCCCTTGGTTGAGATGATTTCCCCCTTTCCCCCCCAAGATCTTCTCCCTTTTCCTCCCTAGGATCTTCTCCCACCTTTCCCTGTTGAGCTCCTTTCCCCCTTTTCCCCCTAAGGCCTTTTCAGATCTTCTCCCTTTTCCTCCCTAAGATCCTTTGCCCCCTTTCCCTCGTTGAGATCCTTTCCCCCTTTCCCCCCTACGGCCTTTCCTCCCGCTGAGATCTTCTTCCTATTCCTCCTTAAGATCCTTTGCCCCCTTTCCCTGTTGAGATCATTTCTCCCCTTTCCCCCCTAATGCCTTTTTGCCCCAGATCTTCTGCCTTTCCTCCCTAAGATCTTTCCCCCCCCCCCCCCCAGTTCCTTGTTGAGATCATTTATTTCCCCCCTTTTCCTTCTAAGGCCTTTTCCCACCCTCAGTTCTTCTCCCTTTTCCTCCCAAAGATCTTTCCCCCCCTTTCCTCCCTAAGTCCTTTTCCCTGAGTTCGTCTCCCTTTGCCTCCCTAAGATCTTTTCCCCCCTTTCCCGCTTAAGATCCTTTCCCCCGTTTCCCCCCTAAGGCCTTTTCCCCCCAAGATCTCCACCCTTCTCTTCCCAAAGTCTTTTTCCCCCTTTCCCGTTTGAGATCCTGTCCCCCCATTGCCCCTTAGGGCCTGTTCCCCCCGAGAAAGATTTCCCTTTTCCTCCCAAAGATCTTTTCCCCCCTTTCCCCCTTAAGGCATTTTTTCCCCAGATCTTCTCCCTTTCCTCCCTGAGATCTTTCCCCCCCTTTCGCTGTTGAGATCCTTTCCCCCTTTCCCCCCTTCATTTCCTTCACCAGCATGGGCAACATCCCCAGCATCACTTGCATCATCCGCATCCTTGGCAGGCGCTGATGCGGATGATGCAGGTGATGCTGGCGATGTGCCGCTGGAGCTGCTAAGGATGCGAAAGCGCACCCGGGGGGAATCGAACACCCCAATGTTTTGGACAAACTGAGTTGCGCAAGCCCGCACAATGAACAGATTTAGTGAAGCGTCTTCGAATCACCGCGTGGTACGTGGACCCCCCCCCCGCAGTCTGAAATGGTGCCCCCTGTTACCCCTGGGTAAGGAGCATTTTTTGTGTCCAACACGCCGTCTGTTGTCGGCGGATATATGATTGTCACCGTTTGTCTATACATTGAGTACCCACTATGAAGCAAGAGGGTCGTTTGCGCGCTCCCCTCGTCACAGGGACTCTTCTAGCAAATTCATGTTTGCTGTAATTGATGGTGGCTCTCCAGACTTTTTTTGCCAGCATCTGCAACCAACATTGGCCATGCGTCAATCAACCTGTGTGCACTGGCATGTGTGTCCGTGTGCGGTCACAACCACGTTGTCATGCCCCCTTTCTCCCTCCCACACTCCCCCTCCCCCTCCCAACACCCCCCCTCCTCCCAGCCCTGCACTGAAACAGCAAAGCAAGAAAAGCACCAACAGTACCGGGTTTTTCACCAGCCTGTTTCCTCCTAGTTCAGAAAGAGTGCCACTAGGCTACAACATTTGCGTGCTCAACCTGGGCGACCCCAGCATGACGGACGACAGGCAACGGTGTTTTGTTTCTCGGTCAAACCACCCAATGACTGGACCCTGCTACATGTATATAATTAGTAATTACACGATACAATACGTATGTCGCATTTACATATTGTGGTTGACCTGTCATTCATGATTCCTTTGAATATGGGTTTCTTCTTTCGGCACCCTGATCAACAACGAGTTGTTCTTGTCATTCACGGGTCAACTGTTTACGCCCCACAATTAACAGGCAACTGATGGTGTCACAGCCAGTAGTCTACCGCTGATTCAGGGAGGTCATTCGTCCAACCCCATCAGCCAGTTCACAACCCGTAGTTTCCATGTCCGCTTGTGGAACATTGACCCGTGTTTGCGTGTACTTGCTTGGACGTGCAACCGAACATAGTAAGAACGTTTTGACGAGTGGCCACCCCTGTTACCATGATAGAACCTGCTTGCTAGCTAATGTCAACCCCAGTTGATCAACCTGTGGAATGAAGAGTCCCCCTGGATGCAAGGTGTTTCTCTTCAATTCCCACGAGGTTCAACATTGTGCTCCGCTTGGCGGAAAAAAACTGAGTGCCTCGAGACAGGGCCTTTTTGGGGCTCACCCGCTCAGCTAGGCTGGCACATATGCTCGCAGTCGTTCCTCCGCGATGCATTGTGCTTTTGGAGGACCCCAAGCTGGGACAGCATGTCGGCTGCATGATTGGCGTTGGTGTTTGCAGTTTTGCAGACTGGGGGAGTATATCGGTTCATCATGGTCCCATATCATTTTTTGTGGTAATCTTGTCCATTCATGTAGTGATCGTTGGTTGTGCTTCCACACGGCACTCCGTGATCCTACAATGTCGGGATCCTGGCAAAATGCAGTATATATATATATATATATGTGCGCGTCGCTGTTTTGCAACATCCAGTGTCGGTCGAGGGGTGACACTGCCAGCAAGCCACTTCGAACAGCGTAGAGGTGGGGGTGGGGGCGTTGCGGGCAAACTTCTGCGCAGGACGTGGATTTCGCGGTGTCTCAGCAGACTCCAGCTGATCCATCCGGTCCCTATGCAGGGGTGGGACCCTCAACTGAAGTTGCGCTGGAGTCAAAAAGAGGTCGACAACCCGAAAAGGAAATCCAAGGGAACCAACCATTGGAAGGCATGCCCGATAGGGCACCCCTGTCCACGAATGAAATAGGGCGCACTTACCAAACAGAGGGGTACGCTGTGGGCCCTTGTGTTTTCCATATGAAATGGTTGTTTTTGCAGACGTGCAAACAGGTTAGCAAACCAACTGACTCAACACCAATCCGTACCTCAACAACTCCAAGCATGTTAAGAGTATAGCCTTGATGCGATCATATCTGTAGCGTATAGGATAAATTACATTTTAGGAATGAAGTTCAGAAAATGGACAACACATACCATCAATCAATCAAAAGTTGAAACCGACCCTAATCTTATGATTGAAGTTATATCTCAATTAAAGAATACCGCCCAAAAGAAAATTAATCATAACGATATATTAGAATTAATCATGCCATTCTTATGCGTGGTTTCCTTTGCAAAGATATGATCAACAAAGATTTCCAAATACTAATACCTCAAGTGATATTGATATATCTATAGGACATTTGTATCAAGATATTGAAAAACTTGGATGAAACCTAATTACTATGAAACAAGCAACTGTGCTTCTGCTCAAGAAAAACCACAAGGTGCTTTAGACAGTACATTAAACAGGTTTTTCAAAATGTCCTTGGTCAGGATCTATATCCTAGCGTTGAAAAAAGCTTCTCACTTACTCTATTGCATCATTAAAAAAGAAAGCAAACACATCATGCTGCAGGTCTTGCCGGGACAAGGATACCTCAGAAATTTGATGCAACAGGGTATATGATAAGATATTTTGTTGATAATGACATATGTTTACAAAAAGAAGCATAGATGGTAAAAAGGAAAAAATAACATAAATGCAATTATAGTTTTTTAGAAAAAGCAATATATAATCTTCAAAATTCAACCTTTTAGTTGTGGCATCGCCAAAATCAGCTAAATCAACTATACCAAAAAATGCACAAAGATTTGGAGAAATAGTTTCAACAAATAAAGAAAATGCCACCTCTAGAAGATGTTCTCTAAGATGAGAGTTTTATGTCACAGCTTAAGCCTGTTTCACTTTATGATTTACTTTCGAGAGACTCGAAAACTCTTGACAACGAATCTGTTCCATACTTTATTAAGGATAAAATAATCCTTATTGCAGGGGCAGGGGGGGTATTGGCTTTGAAATTGTTAGGGGATGAATTAAGTATGAAGCTAGCCAGACAATTTTGCTCGACCATAGTGAGTGTATTTTGTATAACATTTCTGAATACTGTTCTCTTTGTAACATAAAAAGTAGTTTATCTTCTGTGTGTGATTTAGAATCATTACACAATGTTGTTTGTGATTACTTTCCAGATGTAGTGTTTCATGCAGCAGCTTACAAACATGTGCCTTTAGTTGAGGAAAATATATCAAAGACCATGGTAAATAATATTCTGGGAACTAAAATACTATTGGTTTGCCTATTAAAGCTAGTGTTGAATCATTTATTCTTATTTCTACAGATAAGGCAGTTAGACCAACAAATGTTATTGCTCAACCCTAGACCTTTTCTAGATCTAGCAGTTAACATGACATGTGCATGAGGATTACCATGGTGTAAAGAACACCGAACAAAACCTCGAGAAATCGGGGGAAAATACATTTTTGCAGAGGACATTACTGATATACCCTGTCATCTCTCCTATAACATGTTTTCTCCGTTTTTTCCTCGATTTCTCGAAGTTTTTTTTGAGGTTTGAGGTTTCTAAGTGGGTAGAACCAAGCATCTCTCCTAGAACTTCTAGTTTTCCTCGATTTCTCGAAGTTTTTTTTGAGTTTTGAGGTTTCTAAGTGGGTAGAACCAAGCATCTCTCCTAGAACTTCTAGTTTTCCTCGATGTCTCGAAGTTTTTTTTGAGTTTTGAGGTTTCTAAGTGGGTAGAACCAAGCATCTCTCCTAGAACTTCTAGTTTTCCTCGATTTCTCGAAGTTTTTTTTGAGTTTTGAGGTTTCTAAGTGGGTAGAACCAAGCATCTCTCCTAGAACTTCTAGTTTTCCTCGATTTCTCGAAGTTTTTTTTGAGTTTTGAGGTTTCTAAGTGGGTAGAACCAAGCATCTCTCCTAGAACTTCTAGTTTTCCTCGATTTCTCGAAGTTTTTTTTGAGTTTTGAGGTTGCTAAGTGGGTAGAACCAAGCATCTCTCCTAGAACTTCTTTTTTGTTAAAGATTTCTCGAAGTTGTTTTTTTGGTTTGAGGTTTCTAAGTGGGTAGAACCAAGCATCTCTCCTAGAATTGTTTTTGTTTTTTCCGATTTTTCGAGGGTTTTTTTTCGGTTTGGGTTTCCAAGTAGGCAAATCACATGAATTCATGACAAGCAGCTTGGGTGCAAAAACCCAGGACCCACACCGTACCCTTCTGATACCAAATCCCCGCTTGAACATGATTGACAATGGGTTTCTCACCTACTTCCCATCGTCGCGTTTCTGGCTTAGGTGACGCGCGCCAGCTTTAGCGGCTTGTTGAACGCGCTGGACGGAGTCATCAGCACAGAGGCCGCATGGTGATGTGTCATCGCATGGTGTTGGTTTCTGTCGCTGAAAAGACTGAACAGAATTGCTTGCTTACCAATGGATGAAGCCAGTTCATCCAGCCATCAACCACAGCAACTAGAATCCGAGCAAGAAAAGTTCATGGCCTTACAGATTGGGGAAGTGAGGAGTGAGGAGCGAACACCATTCAATATCTCAGCTTACGCTGAGGCACACTACTATACCTCTTTGTGGAGTGTTACAGACTTCATGAGGCTTCATGCTTGGTTGTATTTATTAAAGTGGCCGGAAGAGGAGCAGGAAAATGACCCTGCAGGATTACTTTGTTCGAGTTGCTTCTTGGAATCCGAATGGTGACACAATCTAGCGCTCCACTCAAAGATCCATTTGCGCTCTTACGGGAGCAAAGTGACGTGGCTTTAAGTGCTATAAGTTAACCCCCAAATCCCAGAGCTTGTTTGAGGCTAGCTTAAGAACTGTTCAGAGAATCTTGAATAAGCCAATCTTGCCTCGGCTTGTGAACATGACACATGTGCCGAAGCTTGCAGTGGGCAGGCTACAAGGATGACAGTGGGTCAATTCAACACCGGAGGTTTGCCTCACCAGGGCCTCCTGGCGGGGTTTGCACGGCCCTTGCCAACACATATATTCCCTGTGTGGGCGCAAGGACATTTTTCCAGGTTAAAACTTTGAGTTCCCTTTGGTCTCTCTGTGGCTCAAGGCAGAAAACATGAAGTAAAACGGGGTCTCGAGTCGATACATTCCCGAGTGTGTTCAAATCAAATTGGAAGGCATCCGCAACTCTAAACTACCAAAGCACAAATTGGGCATGTCTGAAAAATATGGGGCATCAAAAAGACGGCCAAAGCCTTCTTCCCAAAAGGGCTGGCTTCAATTGGCGCACCAGAGGGAAGCTGATTTATCGCAGCTTGGTTTCCTCAATGTTTCGTAATTTGACTGCTGGGTTCCCACCAATTTTCGGACAGAGGGAAGCTTGGTCGAGGAGAGGGTGGTCTGTATGACGACCAACCACTACCACGCACTGCCACGGGCGCTGGCGCAGCTCTCAGCAGTTTGGGTTGCGGCTTAGTCTGTTCTATGTTGCCTGCGTGTTTTTTTAAATACCTGGAACACCCTTCAAAAGATGGCCATTTTCGGAGTTGGGTTGATTTCCATAGGGCCGTGTTGCTTGAAGCGCAACTGAAGGGATTCCATTGTAGCTTGGGGTGGCCCTGGGGTGGCCTCCAAAATATCCGGCGCTTGAGAAAACCTTCATGTAGATGGCATCAACCCAACCCCAAAAAGACTGACACTTGGGTTTGTCTCCAAACGTGGGACCCCATTG